GAATAAAAATGGTTCATGTTTAAAGGCAGCTGGTCTACTAAAGAAAATCAGAGATAAATTTGATCAGCAAATTTATGAGAACAAGTTGTGGCAGTTCATGAAGCATCTTCTGTTGCTCTTTTTTTTTTTTTTTTAAAAGGACAAACCTGGTGAATTCTACTCTAAAAATCATTTGCTTTACAAGAAAAGCAGATGTGAAAATGTCATGAGTTGTAAAACTGCTGAACTGAAACTTCCCAGATACGTAGTTGCTTAAACTTGTACAATAAAAAAATTCTACATTTTGAGATCATGGGTGTTGTGGTAGGTGGTATTTTGTGCCAGTAATCCAGAAATAATCAGCATCTCTTTGTTTTGTTTTGCGGTTTTTGTTTGTTTTAATGGGAAATGTGCTTTAGAAGGTGAAAGGTCACAATCATAGACTGTGTGATAAGCCGGTTTTCCTGTTTTCTGTACTGGGACTGTGTTGCAGTATTAACAAACGATTTTTAATTTAGGTTTCTACAAAATCTGGGTTGGATCCAGGTGGAGCATGGCATGCCTGGGGCATGGCTTGCCTTAAAGCTGGAAATTTAAGTTCAGCAAGAGAGAAGTTTAACCGATGTTTAAAGCCACCTATGGATCTAAACCAGCTGAACCATGGTTCAAGGCTAGTCCAGGATGTGATACAGTACCTGGAGTCCACAGTGAAGCCCATACTCATTGTGGTAAGAATCTTCTGTTCTGTCTGCTCTGAAGGGCTATAGCAAAGTCAAGTATTGATGTTTTAAAACACACCTTATGGCAATGCATGTTACAGTATCAGGTGTTAGGTTTCTTTCCTTCTTTTGTCATGATTGCATATTGCAGCCTCAATATTGCTGAGAAATTTGTTAGTTGCTTTCTCACAATGAATTGGTGGCTGACAACCAGATCATAGGATTTTACAGAAATTTGGGGTATACTCAGTGGAGGGGAAAGAAGCTGTACTGGTTAACATGTTATTACTACAGTCTGAGGAAACTAAATTCAATCCCAGCAACATTGTGATGCTGCGGTAATGCCCTGTTTCTACTGAAATTCTGATAACTTGGCAAGAACTCAAAGGAGAATTTACAAATACCGTTCCACTCTTCTTTCCTTGTCAAAAAGCACTGTTACATGGTTTGGGATTAGCTCTGGAAGTTCTGGTTAGGTACCAAAGAATGACTTTTAGTAACTTTCTAGTAACTGTGGAATCATAATGATGAAAGACCTCTTAGTAGTATGTATTTTAGGAGAATAAAAAAGCCTGTTTGAACTAGGTTATTGGAGTAGCTGTTGGCAGTGGAATTGTGTTTAAATAAACAAGCTTCCTGTCCATCCCTGGAAACAGCTGTGCCAGCTACAGCAACAGTCAGCACCTCTGTTGATAGGAGCGTTTCAATCTAGTGTTTATAAAAAAAGCATTACTGAAGTGTCACCCCTGTAAAGCAATATCTGTTTTAAAAACAACAGAAGAGCTTCAGGACTGGGTGACAAGATCTAATTGAAAAAAAAGTTTTCCTCTTAGTCATTAACTATCATTGATTGTGTTTTAACGGCAGGATGATGATTACTTTGCCACATTGAGGGAACTTGAAGCAACACTGAGAACAAGAAGTCTGTCTCTGGAGATGATGTGTGAGGGGAAGATTCAACACAACAGCTACTATCAAGAGTGCTTGTTCTATTTACATAGTTATGGCACTAATCTGGCAATAATAAGCTTTTATATGAGGCACGACTGTATGAGAGAAGCACTGCTTCACTTGTTAAATAAGGTGAGTAGTCTGATTTGCCATCACCTAAAAGAAACTTGAGAAGTAGTTAAGAGGACTTCAAGGCCAGTCTAAGATGGTAATGACCATCATGCAGCATTCTGGGTGTTTTTCTGCACGGGAGTTTTCTGAGGTCCTAAATGGTGTTATGAACTATCCAGTGACTGACAAGAATTCAGTGACATGAAAAAATAACTTTGATCTTTACATCTTGTGTTTAATCTCTCTTTCCCATTGTGTTGAAACAATGGCTTCTGGAGAGTAGAAAAGTGCTTTCCCCCCTGCCCAGTACTTCATCTTTTTTCTACAAAGCTGAAAATCTGTGACTGTTGTTACACAATTCAGAAGAGTCAAGGAATATTTTGAATTCCAACATGCTGATAACGGTAGACACTTTTACTCTGTAACACAGTGGCTCTGTCTCTTGGTATTGTGTGTTTAATCAGACGCCCACATTTGCACTTCTGTAACTGTTAGGAATATAAGGGAATACAGGATCATGTCCTAGAGGACAGAAATCTAGGGAAACAAAAAAATGGTTTCCAGTTCTGCCTTAAGAAAACTGCATAATGTAGGAGGGCTTGAGAATGTCTGAGTGAAACAGTTCTGTTGGTGCTAAATTACAATTAAACCCAGAAATTATTCCAACAAGGCTCTCACTAATTCATTGAGGGTGCTTCTTAGGAGGTGTGGAGGAGATGTGAATCCATTACATCTCACCAGCTTGAAAGCTGTAAGTGGCCGGAGGGGTGTTTTCTTTTCTTTTTCAAGTTTCTGTGCTTGTGCTTGATTTTCTGATTATTTATTTATTTATTATTATTA